TGCACTTGCCTCCCTCTCAGCCTGGCCACAGAGGAGAAGGGGTCGATTCCTGTCTCCTTTTCCTTCTTTCATTCTTTTCGTTCTTTTCTTGTTTTCTTTACATTGACCTTTAGACCGGTTAGACCTATCTGCAAACTCAGCCACGAGGCATGAGCAAGTCTTTCAGGAATGTCCACAAGCGCAGAATTTGCCCGTGCTAACGCACTTTCTTTGTGACATGCTCCCAGGTACACCTGAATGATCTTATATCTTGTACATGCGACTACCAAGAGCCAATCTGGTTGAAACTGTCCCTCTTTCCTCGCTGCCCCCTTTGTAGTTTCATGTGATTTCTACCGCAACAGATTGTGTGTAGTGAAGTCCTGGCAAAGGTTGCAAAACGGTTCATGTGGTTCTTCCCTACTTACAAGATCTTACAAGTCTTTCCCAGTTTTCATGAACATATCATCCACAAAGCACTCGACGCGATACACCAAACCAGTGCCCCTGCTGCCACAATTCCTTGCATCCGTGGCCTTTGACAGGCAAAGTGGCGTTGGCTTTGATGTCTCCGCTGCAAGAAAAGCATCCGCCTGTCATTTTTGCATGCACATCCATCCAATGACAGAGGTTTGATCCAATAGGATTCTCGCAGAAGTGAGCCCACTTGAGTCTGTCCTCGGCATGCAAAGACTCAAGGTTTTGAGGCTCGGAGAGGATTCCTTCCAAGCGATCCCAATCAGGCAAGCCGCCCTTGGCCTGAGCCGAGAAAAGCAAAGTAGCAAGCCAAATGAAAAAACACACCTCGTGGAATAACATGGAATAACTAGGTCAGAAGATTGGACATCAAATGCTGGTTCGGACACATGCCGCCAGGTGGCTTTGACATCCGTCTCATCGTCTGCACCATCTAGCCAGGGGTCATCTCCGCCTTGAGCTGGCGAGCAAGCGAGCGAATCTCTGTCATGGCAGGCACCGGGTGAGGATATGTGAGGTTGCTCTATGACACAAGACTTGGCTAGACATTAAAACATTACTCTAGGTTGCACGATGTGCATGTGTACTTGCATGGCACATATGGCATGGTGCACACAAAATGCTTGATGGATGCAGCTAACAAATTGATGGGATGGAAGTGCAGAGAAGGCTTTTGTTGACATTCTCGTGAATAGTTCCAGATCACCTCGCAAATCGATAGTTGTTAAATCTAGACAAGAATTACAAAATAGCTGTGGCTGGTAGCAATGGAATGTCTGTTTCGAATCCCCAGTTTGGGCTGAGGAAAGCTCCATCCTCCATAGCTTCCCCCATAGCTCTGCGACCTGGGGCGGTCGGCCGCTGTTTTTCAACTGTAATCCTCTGGGAAACCACCAACCTCTGGGAAGCCACCGACTGTAACCTCTGGCAAACCATCAACAAGCTTCTTGCCAATGACTTCTCGTGCATACCAACGTTGCAAGCTCGCAGCTAGCGCAGTGATCAACCAAGGGCTGCGGAATAGGGGAACATCAGCATTAGCATGCATCACAACCATTGCCAATCATTCAAGAACAGCAAACCTCCGAGATCCTTGCCTTCATCAATGAGACGGTCGATGAGTCGGAGACTGGGGCACATGTCGCAGACTGCCAAGCTACACCATTGGACCATGGCCGGTCAACAAAAGGCATCAAACTCAAACTCTCATGGCAATCATCACGCTAGCTTGCTGCGTCCAAAGCATAGGAAATGCATAAAAGTGCAATGATAGGTCAAAAAGGTGGTTGACAAGCTGTTCAAGAAACAGTTCCTACAATACGGAATCACATGATTCACAAATGCCAATCTGTGGAACTGGGGCAACGACATTTGTGGAACAGCACGCAGAACAAAGCCTTGAGGTCCTTCATGCCCAGTGCATGCCTCACATCATCAACGCGTAGAAAATGAGAATGAATGAGAGCTTCACTCCATGAAAGACCAACACGCCTGTCGAAAGAGGGCATAAGCCTGACCTCAGGTGCAAAGACATCACGAATATCAAAATATAGAACTTTCAACGCTCAGCCACAGCTAGCAACATCTGCATTAATTTCTGCTACAGCCAACAGCAAAACTCTAAGTCATGGCATCTTTGCTTCTCCTCACTTTCAACTGACCATTCCTTCTCCTTTGTTTCTCTCCTTACTGATTTCACATGTCCCTGCTGTTTCCCGGTGGTGCGGCAACGAGTTGTGACATGAAGCTGAAATGTGGATGTTGTTGACAGACTATCTGGGTCTTTGGCGCTGCTATCAGATTGCAGCAAATGTTGGAGGCAAGCAAACTAGGCAAACCTTTTGCCAAACAAGGCTACGCTGCGAAAAGCAACCGTTTTCGGCGCTTGGTGCGTGGCCAAGGTAGGTGATCTCATGGATGTTTTTCACTAGCAACCCGACAAACACGACTGAAACATACAGAGGGGATGTCCAAGAGGGCAGGCAATACAGAGAGAGAGGGGGGTGTAAATATATCAAACATATTGTAACATGTAATCAAGTATGCGTATAGTATAGTGTATACATATATATATATACATATATATATATATGTGTCTACTATGTATTGTATTGAGATAGCCCTAAAGCTGGGTAGAGGACCATTGACTGCAAAGCTATGAGGCTTTGTGTGTGTGTGTGTGGAGTTGTGCTTGCAGGTCTTCCAAATGATGGGCTTCAGCGAAGAAGCTTGCCATGCCGCGAGAAACATATTGTTGGCTCAATTTGAGACGGTTGTCAAGCTTGTTCGGATGACAAGCTATCGCAAGCAGAAGAAAGAATTGGCCATAAAGGCCAGGAGTCCTGAAAACCTTATCTGGCCACAGGTTGACCAAGTAGGTGCCGTTCTGATTTCATTTATGGTCAAAAGAGTTACAGTAAGGTTCCCTTTGGAGGTTATGTATTAAGGGGTCCCAAGCACCTTCTCTTTTTCTTTTACGAACAGTTGAATATATGAAACCTGTTGAAAATGGATAAAAATAGCTGACTCCCAAATGTCTCTGTTGTCAACCCATCTTCTCAGCCTCCTGCGACCGTAGGGGCTTCGTCGACGACCATAGAGTGCTCGGCGCCCAAAGGATCTTCGGTGCAGCAAAGAAATATGGAAGACAAGAGTCATGAACACAGGCTCAACTCTTCCTCTGAAGTCAGGATTAGTAATATGATGTAGTAATAATAGTAATATGCACAACACCAGTTGCCATGATATGAATTGAAATATCGTGTGGTCATCCTACTTCATCCTACTTCCAGATTTGAAAGGAGAAAGGTCACTCAGCGCCTCAAGAGCCGAATGAGTGGTTTGGGCCTCGCACCATGCGACTTTCCCAAGGTCTCCTGGAGGCACCGGAATTCCTCGTTCATCGCCTTCCAACTGGCATCGCTACTAGGAACAAGAAGCTACTAGGGGCTCCTGGCATCGCTACTAGGAGCAAGAAGGACGCTACTAGGGGCTCCTGGCCTGACTACTAGTAACAAGAAGCTACTAGGAACAAGAAGCTGTTTTTGTGTCCATCATTTTCCATGGCCTCACAAGGACGACGGAGCGGTTTCTACGTCTCTATTTATTTCGACTAGGTTCCCAATTCCCAACCCCTGAAGTTTAAGGGCTTGCACTAAGAGTTGGTTCTAACGGGCTCTTCTTTCGCAAGTTCCTTTCGCAACACTTTTGCGGCTTGCGCTTTGGCTTTCGGGCGCTGAATTTTGTGCAAAAGCACGTTCGCATGCTTTTGTAAGTTTTCACACATGAAAAGTTTGCGAAATCTATCTCGAATCTTTCACGACTGCGTGTTTACCTACCTTTCGCGATGGCATCTTATACATTCTTATACATTAATATTAATATTATTGTTATCATATAACCTTATATAACCTCACTCCAAATTGTTGCATGGAAGTTTTGGCCGCTGCTCATTTGGTCTGAGATTTGCTCCCTTCGGATCTCTTCGGAGCACACACGAGATCCAAACCGACTTCGATTGGTGCACCGCGTTCTGCGCCGCAGAACGGCGCCGGCAGAACGGCTCCTCCAGCAAGCGCCGAAAGCGCACGGCATCGAGCTCCTCGCGCAGACCGTCACAGTTCGCCTGGAGTCGGATGGGTCGGATGGGTTGGAACCATCGCTCTTAGGTTGGAGGCCATCGCTGTTAGGGGGAGCTTGGGGGGCCATCGCTCTTAGGTTGGAGGCCATCAGACTTAGAACCAGGCCCTGAATTGGAACTGTTCGCCCCGGGGTGATGAACCTCTTGAACCCGACTCTGGAGCCAGGCCCCGATCGCAACTTCGTTTGCACTCTGGCCTAGTCCCCTGGAGTCGTCTAGCCTAGCCCCTGTTCATTTTGCCTTCGGCATCTGGTTGGCGATTATATATGAGAGGTAGCTCAAACCGCATAGGGAGTCCGTGAGTCTTCTTATCACCATTTGGGGTCTATGCCTGTGTAGTCCTTCCAATTGAGATGTGTTTAGAATTACATAGAATTACTTGCAGTGCTACACTGTTCCATATGGTGTCCAAAGCTTGAGGTATCTTTTTGCAGGGTTTGTGGAGGTTGACTCACCTAAGGCGAAAACCAACCATCTGTTTCAGTGAACGCAAACAAAACAATCCAAGATTCTTATCTGTCTTATCCTATCGATTTGATCAAATCTCCACCTACTCTACAGTGTAGACTCTACAGGTGGTTGCTTTGCAGCCAAAACTCCACTGAACTGCTGCCCATCAAATGCTGGGCTGGGCAGCTCATGATGTTAAGTTGGGTGTTACATGATGCTACATATCTGTCCGTTTCTGGGACACAGTGCATCTGATAAGCCGGGCTATTGTTCTTGTGCCCGTCCAGAATGGTTTTGACTGAAGAAAACTCGTTCAAAAGGCGGTCCTGGATGCAATGCTCTGACAACTATGTTTGAAAACCGCGAACAGGTTGACAGAATCGTGGGACACGTTGGGGGCTGCAACGCTCACTGGCCACCTGTGATGCCATCCAAACTTTTTGCACCAGCAGCATTACCCTGAGCATGATACCCCACCTGCTGCTAGCAAGTTGTCGACTGCTTCCCAATACTCTTCGGCATGAGTGGCCATAGCTCTGCAATGCAGGGCCTTTTCCAGAATCAGTGTGTATAAACGAGTTTCATCCCTTTCCTTCCCCTCTTGGAGGGATTGACGCGTTGGAAGATTGCGAAGCCAGCTTTCGAGCAGCAAGGAGCGCTCGAGAGGAACAACCTTGTCTCCTCGAGAGGCCACAATCAACATTGGAGAACACCAGATTGCTGCCAGTGATGCTAATGGACCCCTGGGAGCACTGGTCAGCTCGTGTGCTAAGTCTCCACTGTTGGACCAGGCGATGAGTGTCTTCCCAAAGGAATTTGCTGGCTCCTGGAAGAAGAAGCTACTAGGGGCAAGAAGCTACTAGGGGCTCCTGGCATCGCTACTAGGAGCAAGGACGCTACTAGGGGCTCCTGGCCTTACTACTAGGAACAAGAAGCTACTAGGGGCTCTTGGAATGTGAGATGATCGACAAAAGCTGAAGGGCCAGGTCGACCCCACTCTGACCACTTTCAGGCTTCGCTGTTTGGACCGAGAGATGCGGCGCAGGGTGAATGTTCTAAATAAATCTAAGTACGTGGATCTGTGGTGGTGGAACCTTCTTTGGCTTTGAGAGTAAAATGGTGTAAAATGAAAAATTGAAGCTTGAAAACCTAGCTCCTCGTGGAAGGCCTGGCAGGCACCAAAGGTCATCAACATGTTTAATCCACAACCAGTGAAGAATGCCAAGGCCGTGTTGGTGGTCGTGGTCGGCTCACCCTTCCCACCTTGGATGTCTTCGATGTAAGTGGTCTCGTGAGGCAAAAGACCAGCTCCGTCGGAGATGATGCACTTGATCGTCTCAGCGGGTGATTGACGTGTTTGGCCATGCTGCCAGCTTTCATTCCACATTCCCAACAAGGAGCGTGCCATTCCAAATCCACCGTCACTAAAGAAATGGAGGATCACAGGATGACCACCCAGGACCTCCATCAGCTTTTCGTATATTCGCTCCAACATGTCTTCCCTTCCAACAAGAGCTGGCCCAAAGGCCAGCACTGCTGCACCACGCTTCGTCCATTGCTCGATGGCTGGCTGCAAATCATCCAGGTGGGATCCACCAAAGCCACACAGCAACACCATGGGATTGGTTTCAGCATCATCTCGGAAGGGGTAATACTCCACATCTACCATTGATGAAGCCCAGGATACTAAGCACAACTGGTGACAAAGAATTTGAGCTGCACGAGTCCAATTGTTCTTGCTGCAGAACTCGAGCAGCTTCGCAAGAAACAAGACCACGCGCTTGCGGTTCTCACGCTTCCATGCCACGTGGAGGAGGTCTTGAACTGTGCTCTTGAAGCGGACCATTTTGTCTTCGAGTGCTTCTTTCCCACTGTTCATTGAGCTGTTGGTTTCTTTGACTTGTGCCCAGGCCTTTTGCTCCAATTCGTCCAGTGTTGCAAGGGCACCTCTTTCAGTGCCATGCTTTACACTAGGCTGAACACAAAGCAGTTCGGGCAATGGTGTCTCTGCACTGAACCTCTTCCCAGTTTCTCGTGTGTCTGCAGGAACCAGCAAATGCTTGTCTTTGAGCTTCATGCTGACCCATCCCGTTTCTGGCCCCGTTCCTCTGCATATCCTGTAGCACAAGCGCGGCCCTGCAATCTCCACTTCCTCAACAATCGATTGCTTCGCAAGTCTCTCTGCCTTTTCGGCTGACGTCAACTCACGCCCGTCGCGCACCAAGAGACCCCCCTTGTCTCCGCCAACCACCCTCCACAGCCGGCCCATTTTTTCGTGCGAGAAAGACTGTAGACAGATGATGCCATAGCTGAAAGTATAGCAATGTGCCGCTTTTTCAGACAGGCGCGGGGCTCCTTGAATACAACGTGTTTATATATATAATTGATAATATAATGTTACACATATGTGCATGCTGATACGAGTTTTCTAAATGAACCTGAATTGCAGATGTCATGAGGGATAAGACTGCAATGAAGATTGCGATTTTGCTGCTCTGTATGGCAGGCTTGACTCTGAAATCAAGCTCCTGCGTGCGAAGCTAGAACATTCAACCTCTGGGCTCTCACATCCTCCCACAATCCCGCATGTGGGCATGTCGGAAGCCAAAGAAGGTTTTGTTACGTTGCGTATCTTCAGAATGCACTTGCCTGAAACAGCCGCCTAAAACCGCAAGATTCCTTTCCCTGTCCCAAGTATAATCAGTATATATCTCTCTTGACTCTTTCTCTCGCCCGCCTCAGTCTGAGTGCCTTCATGTGCAGCATAGAGCTGCTCCCGCGTTTCCAGGAAGAGGCGACAGAGATATTGTAATTGTGAGACCTGAGCCCAAAGCCCAAAGCCAGTCAATAAGAAAACAACATGACAGGATGAAAACGAAGATGAGCCCTGACAGTGCACGAAGGGGATGCTGAAGGGGATGGTATCTGACAAAGACCCTCTCTGTCAATTTCTGTCTGGGAATTTGTGGAACACAATTCTTGCGCTTCCGGCCCCATCGAACTGAGTCATCGACCAGTTCAGCTCTCTGGCGACGTGCTTGTGGCAAGCCTTTCATTCTTTATGCAACTTCTCTAGACAAGCAACTGCCATGTTGAGCAACTGGTTCTTACTATTTGAACCGCTGCTGGCCTGGATTGATTTGTGGGCCAGGCCTCCACACAGTGAAAATCGGAACATCGGCATCGCGGCATCTCAAACAAGAGAAAGAATGTGGTGAAAAAAAAGGAAGGAAGGAAGGAAGGAAGGAAGGAAGGAAGGAAGGAAGGAAGGAAGGACGGAAGGACGGACGGACGGACGGACGGACGGACAGAAAGAAAGAAAGGAAGGACATCAGTCATCAGTCTATAGCGTGAGGCACGCTGCCTCGCTGGAGTCTCCCGTGGTGGATAGCCTGTCAGGGTTGCAGCAGGTGTGCCAGCATAGCTCAAATCACAAATCAAGGACATAACGCAGCATAGCTATCACCATACACGGCTGTAAACAGTTTGTCATCCGAAATCGATCTTTGCTCAAGTGTTTCAAGTGCGTCAATTGTGTGTGTGTGTGAAAAGTTCACGTGCCTGCCTTGAGATGGGGCCTCAGGGGGCTTCTGAGCAAGATATCCACCACCCGCAACAGGGGGAGCAACTTTGGCCACGTCAGGGGAATCATCTGATGAATTAGATGATTCTTGTGCTTCTTGAGGCACTGGTGGAAGTGGCGCCACACTTGGCTTGCTTTGTACCTCTGGAGCAGCGCGTTCAGGTTCTGTTTCCTCTGCTGTCACAGAAGGAGATGGTGCCGGTGCTTCCTCTACCTTCACCGGAGGAGTTGGTGCTGGTGCTTTCTGTACCTTCTCCGGAGGGGTTGGTGCTGGCGCTGGTGGAAGAGAGGGCGGCAGCAACGCCATAACCCGTTGGGGCTCCTCTTTGGGTGGCTCGGCTGGTGCAGCAGCCTGTGGCTTGGGCTGGGTGGCTTCGGTGACTTCTGGCAGAGGCGGGAGCGGCTTCGTGAGTGAGGGCATCTGCGGATGCTCAAGCTGCGCTGCAGGCTGCGCTACAGGCTGCGCTGCAGGCTGTTCAGACTCTGGCTGTGGAGGTGGTGGAGGCTTTGCTGCCGGAAGCCGGGTTGGTGGGGCAGGAGCTCGAGCTGCAGGAGCTGCTGAAACTGCCGACGCTGAAGTTGCTGGAGCAGCACCAGGAGCCGGAGTTGGAGGAGCTGGGGCAGGTGGAAGCTTGGAGGGAGGGGCGGGGGCTTTAGGCAACTGTGCCAGACTTGACTTGGCCGCAGAGGCAAAGGCTGATGGAGGTCTGGCCACTTTCTTCCACAAAGCAGGTGCCGACTTTGAGGGATCCTGTACAAAGTGGAAAAGCACAGCTACACACCTTCACAATGCTCAGCCGAGTACTCCAAAACTCACTGAAACTGAACACCGCTCCCCAACATGGTCGCGAGCTGCTGAGCCAGACGTCCCAAAGACCTGCAGCAAGCAAGCTGTCCTGTGTTTGCTTTTCTGAGTGTTTTCTTTGCTGTTTCCTGACCTCCTTCCATCTCCTCTCTGATTATATCCACGCCTAATAGTCCCTTGTTTTATACTATAAAGCATCGAACGTACCTTACCTCGTCAGCATCATACACAGCTGATTTGGGCTGAGCTGATTTCGGGCGCAACAAATGCTTTGGAGCTCCAACCTCAGGTGCTTTCTATGGATCTACGCAGAGCTTTCAAAGTGCCGCATGGAAGCCATGTCTCTGTGTGGGTAGATCGTGTGTCTGTGTATGTAAATGAAAAAACATTCACGCAAAATCCTAAGGCTTGAGGCTTTCCAGAATCAGCTTGACATGTGCCCAATTGCATGCCACGTGGCATGCTCCAATGGAGTCTCGCGTGGGGTCTTCCCAAAAAGTTCATCTGCATCGCCCGTGCCGCCAACCTCAAGCATTGTCAATTGTCTCACTCACGGTGTGGAAAAGCGTTCGTGACCCCAATTTTGAAGATGTGCAAATGTATCAGCTCACAAATACTTGACTGCCTTGGGACCAGGAATCTTGGGGGGGTCGAGCTCAGTGGATATCTCCTCAAGGTGCAAAAGGCAACACCAATGGTATTGTGACGGATACCGCCGTTGTGGCAAGGGGTAAAGAAGTTGCTGTGGGCCACTCTCCTCTGTTCTACTATTTGTTACTAAAGCACTAAATGCGTCTTCATGTCCGCTCGTATGTGTCACTTCCTGCTATCTTCTCGCGTGTTTCGCATGAGATACACAAAATCGGCTTCCTCCATTTCTTTCAGTAGCTTTTCTGCTTCTTCCTCCACTGTCAAGATCTCCTGAACATCTCGTGGACATGTTCTGAAGTCCTGCTGCATTTGCATGGTGCAAGCATCGTCAACATCATCTGGTGACTTTGAACACCATTTCGTGTTGGGAATCTCAATATACTTACAAGGTGTTCTGGGGTTGCAAGCACGCTAATACGCCATGTATAACATTGTATGACTATATACATTATTGCGCAATTATATTTTTTGATAATTGGCAATCAATATCCAGCCCGTTCACTTTTGAAGGCCGGCCTCGCCCTTCTGTGTAGGCGGCACCTTGGCATGGGTATGCGGTGTGCGCCAAAGGATACCAGTAGTTTGGTCCCTGCTCAGATGACGAGAGCAACTCCCTGCTCAGCCTCATTGAGGCTGTAAGAAACAGCAGCACTGAGCGCTGAAAATGATCCACAGTGAAAGACGGTCAAAATTACCTGCATGTTGGAGGTAGGAATGGTGGTTGTCCCATCCCCCAATTAACCCCAAGCATGAGAATCATGCCTCGTATATCTCCAGACATCCTAGACATGCTGATTTAAACATAAGATGCTTTCATGGATTTTCTGCGGATTTCTCTGGAAATTGCAAACATGATCAAACCTTGCGACACTCGTGGCTGTTTCAGTCGGCGAGTTTCTTGGAGCATCACCATGGTGTGCTTTGCCTCGATCAAGCGCGTGGGGGCTCCTTGCGCTGGAGCCTCCAAGGCTCGAACAGGCATCGCTACTAGGAGCAAGGACGCTACGAACGGGGCTCCGGGCCTTACTACTAGGAGCGTTTTTTGGTACTAGTAACAAGAAGCTACTAGGTGGAAACCATCGCGATTTCAACGTGTCTGATTGACTAGATGGGTCCAAACAACAAGGGTCTGTTTTGGTCCAAACAACAGGGCGACTTGATTGACTAGACTTTGGGCTAGAACGGACCTCCGTGTCATCCATGTCTAGTCCAAAGTTGTCTGTCTTCTCGACGGCGGAAGAAATAAAAGGAGAAGGTATGTCGTTAAAGGCCAAAGTCGTCGGAGGTCTCGGAAACTGGCTGCTTGATTTGCATCTGGGGACTGCATCCAGCACACACCACTCACTCAGGTTCAAATGTTGGTACTCTGAGATGTACTCTGTGCGAAAACTGCTGAAGAAGCCTCTTCTGCTGCTTCGCCTGCTGGCGTGGCCTGGCCACGGAACTCGAGGCCAGGCAAACCAATTGCGGCAATCCTAACTTCTGCCTAGTGCTGTCACCTGTCCCACCTATTCCCTTACGCGGCTGTGTGTCATGTGCTAAGCAATACCAAGCAACACCTGCACCTCGGCCGTCGCGGCCGTCGCGGCAATGAGGTCTTTCCAACTTCTCCTCCAAACTGGGCGACCGCGGCGACCGCAAGAAAGCACTTAGACGATCGAGTGAACGCACGTTCTGGCGCAGCGGCGCGTCAGCCCGAGCAGCTCCTAAGTCTCTTGGCTACCAGCCGCACTTGCTTATCCTCATGATCCTGTCACTTGAAGCTTGTGGTGGCGATGAGTTCTACTTGTAGGAGTAAATTCTGCGGCTTCCCAAAACTGCAATCACCCGCCCGAGTCCTTGAAAGGCTGAGTGAGGACTCCGAGCTGTGTCTGCCTTAAACAGAAATCAGTGTCAAGAGTCAAGGAAAGAATCCACATACATCAAGATCTGAAGTTTGGATAATTAGTGTCCAAGGAATGAGGCATTCTTGGATTCGAACCTACAGAGAAACTTCTGCAAAAGGTGCAAAGACACCAGAAAGAAGGTCTTTCTGGGGTCTGACGAGCTCCCCCTCATCCACACAACTTCCATCCGATCCCCCCGCCTCAACAAGTCCACGGTGACCGGGATGCGTTCCAACTGCTCGAGGATCTCCACCAGGGCACTGAAATCTGTGGATTTCTGTTGCAGCTGCTCCGCCAGACGGAAAAGCATCGGAGCTGCTCCACCAGATGCGGCTGAGGCGGCATCGGCGGAGGTGTCCGCCCCTGCAGGAACTGCTGCAGAGCTGGGGGTCTCATCCTGGAGCAACCAACATGGAAGGTGCTGAAAATGCGATGAAAAGTGGTCTGAACATGGTGTGCAGGTGGTGCGCATGTAACTTGGAAGATTCCTATGCTCCGTGGTCAGAACCCTGACCAAGAAAACAGTGTGGGAAAATGCAACACGCCTGCACAAAAACCAAAAGCATAGGATATCTATACGACAACACATATCAATATGCCATACAATCAAAAAGGAAGTCCTTGTCGAACTGCTTGACCACCTCCTTCAGTTTTCCAGACTTTGCGCGTTTGTCTGCTGCACGCTGGGCTCGTTCCAGTCTTCTTTGTACAGCTTCCTCGTCTTCGTCCAAGTCGCATTCCTCATCACTGCTTAGCCTCGACCCACGAGTTTGCCATTTGCCGCCCCTGAGGTCAAGGATGGGAAAAAGTAATAAGTTATTAAGTTATTTAAAAAATGAAGGTGCTTGATCAATACAAAACCGCATCTGATCCCATTTGTTCATTTGCCCTATCTTGCCTCTGAGTCCAGTGCGGAGCTAGGCCTTTTTGAGGCACCTCTTCGGCATCAGCATCACTTTCTTGCGCAGCCTCCTGCACCTCTTCAGGCATTGGTGCAGCTTCCCGGCAAGTAGGTGGTGATGGTGCGGCTTCCTGACTTCGACCTTCAACTTCGGGCACTGGCATCTCGCCGGGCTTTTCTTCAACGGACGGAACGGGCATGTAATCCTCCGCTTCTGTGGCTCCCTGACGGAAGAAATCCGAAATCTATTGGGATGCATGGACACTTGCTTCAAACTACAAGTCTGCAGGCCACCTAATCTAAGGAGATTTGAGCCTTTGAGGCATGCTCAACCTGTTTGCCGAGCACCTTCATCCACGTTTGACTTGACAAACCCACCCTGACTATCAGAAACTATGCCTCAGCATCTTCATCGCCAATGTAGAACATTTCTGGTTGCCCTTCAGGAGCTTCATGTTGCTGGCTGTCAGGGCTTTCTGCAGCCTGCCCCAAGAATTCTGATGATCATGATGATCTCAAACTGCAACTCGGCATTGCCCAGCAGCCCTGCCTCACGGGGCGTCTCGCCCGCCTCGCCTTCCTCCTCTCCTTCCGTTGGCCTGATGCAATATGATCCCGAGTACCTATTTAAAAGCACTATCCAACTTAAAAGAAAGGAAAAACTCATGTCGGAGACCCCTAAAATACGGTTTATGTTTGGTTTTAAGTTACCGCCTTCTTAAGCTACTACTAAACTACAAACATAGGTAAATTTGTGAATGTTGTTCTTATTAGGTACCCGCCTACTAAAAACATCTAAAAACCACCACCAATCGTGCCCCTCACTAGCGCCACGCCGCATTTACACACGCATGTGCACCCTTTCCGAAATGGCATAAAGCGATCTCCAACCCACTAGCGATGGCCTCCAACCTACTAGTGATGGCATCCTCCAACCTACTAGCGATGGCCTCCAACCTAATAGCAATGCCCTCCAACCTAATAGCACTGGCCTCCAACCTAATAGCGATGGCCTCCATCCTAATAGCGATGAGCGACATCACCTATCGAATGTTTTTTGTTTGTTAGCCTGATGAAAAGTTTAGAAGCGAAGAATATCACGATGCTATACGATTTTAATAAAGTGTTTTTGTAGGGAAAAGGAGACCCTTCGATCTGGAGTTTTTCAGTGTGATATG